ATAAACACTGTCTAGAGTTTCCACTTCCCTCTATCAATCTTCAGATTCTAACCTCAGTCCACTCTAACCATGACACAACTTGCAAGATCAGTCAGCTGACAATCTATTCAGCATTAAGAGACATGATCTAAATAAATAAGGACTAACACACAACAGACTGTGCAGTTATATATATTAAAAAAAAACTATGGCGGGGTGGTGTGATGTGGCCCAACGTGAAACAATTTGCCTAAAACTACATTTATTTAATTTATTAATGAACAATACATTGGGCTTTTTAACTGTTTACAGTTACATGTAATGTTATAGAACATCAGCAAGAAAAGTTGGTTACTGTTATCACTGAAATTAGGGTGCTATGAAAAGTCATTTTCTCACAGCCTAACTCTTTTGAAGTTAACAAGATAAAAATAAAAAGGTAGCTTGTCATTTCACCAAGAAACCAGAAAGTGCAAAGTCTTCTGTCATGAAGACTCTCACATGTTGAAAAACTTACTGACTTATAAAGCATGGACAAACCGAGAATCCTTCAATAAACATTAAATAAATGTATACTAATAGAAAGCTTTACCATATTAATGATTATATGTTCTTTGTTAAAAAACACCATGTTTTTTTTAAATTTGATTTATTATTAATTAATTATGGGGAGCATCTGCCTTACAAGTGGTGCAAGGCAAATGTGCTAACCACCAAGCCACCACGCCCCCTCATAACATGAGATTTTGAATATTATTATTTAACCTTTATAAAATCCCAGACTTTGTTTTAGTAAATTCATATTAATTTCCTCACCGGCATTCTTTGTTCCTTGGTACAACAGGCCATTCTCTATATAGCAGATATTCAACTGTTGCATGAAAGTATTGTACAGAAAATGTAAAAGTGATATGTGTATAACTTGTTTTAAAATACTGAACTGAAATTTTGACCCAGGGAGAATGCCAAATGCCCGATGAAGCACACAAATGTATACTCTGGGCCAAGCTAGCAACTAAAACTGTATAGCAAAGTTATTTCTAGTTAGAAATTGTTTTTCTAGGTTGCAGCCTTTGACTTAATAATATCCTTAGATGCTGTCTTTGCGCTGTTATAAAGTTGAAAAATTTGTTACCTTTGTAGGGGTCTGGCTTTTCTTTTTCTGCTGGTTTGCTCTCTATGTTTGACATGTTAGTCTCCTCTGAAGGCTCGTCCTTAGGTTTGTGCACTTCCACCATGGTTTTACGGCGACTTAACAAAGGTGAACGTTTTTCCATGTGCTGTGCTTGTTGCCCACTCTGAAGTTGCAAAAAAGCAGCCCTGCGTGCCTGACTGGGTGACATGTATGGGCTGTCTCTCTTGCATTGTGTGTCTGAGCTTTCGTCTTCAGACTTCGTTTTGGCAAGGTAGATTTTTCTGCGAGCCCCAGATGCCAGCTCCTCTGGGGTAGCAGAAGGGATAAGAGTCAGGCTGTCTCGCCGTTTCATCTTGGGGCTGCTCTCACAAGATAGAGTGGATGTGGGTGTGCTGCCTCCACTATCTTCTCCTTTCTTCTCACTTCCATCCCCTAATATGGTGACAGTAGAACCTTGGCTTTCCAAGTTAGGGTTATTCTTTACCATAAGCCTACGCAAACTGGCTGGGCTGAGCGGGGGAAGTGTTGGTCCAACAGGGGTTGTTAGGCCAAGTTTTTCCATAGCAGGTTTCTCCCTTTGGAACCTGTCAGCATCAGGTTCCACTTTTGATTCTTTGTCTGGACAGACCTCAGTGTCACAGACAGTGGTATTTTGAAGTGCTTTTGGTGATAATGCTGAGGAGACATCAGAGCTCAGTTGAGTCTCCACCAAGTTCCTTCTCTCAGTACCTTCTTTTTGCAATGTAGCCTTCTCAACTACTTGATTTGTGGGACTGGCTCCACTGTCAAAATGACCCCCCAACTCCCCAAGTATGACAGTCAAAGACTCTGGTACTGTTTCCTTTTTTATACTGTTTTCTGTACTGCTTTCTACATGTGTTGTGGTGATAAATGAAGATGAATAGGCTTTCATTTTAAGATCTGCACTGTCTGGGTGAACTGTATCATGAAAGACAGGTTTTCCATATTCTTTCTCCTGCTCTTGGAAGGGTGTCATCTCATCGGCACATGCTACTATGCTGATTATAGGGATACTATTGCTGTCATTTCCTCTACTCCAACCACTACTGACTCCGGATGGTTCTTCTCTATCACCCATTTGAACCTCTAAATTTTCTGTTTTAACTTCTTTGGTTCTCTGGTCTAATGGAAACCATTCAGCATTCTTTTCATGCTGAGGAGGTGTAACATCTACAGGCTCTGCAATTATCACCACCCTGTCATCTCTGGTATTTTTCTTTGGAGTTCTTGAGGCAACGCCCATTGGCTCCTCAGAAGAAGGTTCATTATCTCTATGCATAAGTGCAACATCATGAACCAGTGGATGGATAACTCTCTCAGCTTCTGATAACAGAACATCTATTCTAGGGACAGTGAAAGGCTCCTCATGTTTGACTTTTTCTGGGACTGTAACCTTGATTTCTGGGGTAAATGGCATAGCTCTCATCTTTGCTACATTTTTGATAACTGTTTCCCGTGTGTCAGGAAGAATTATGATTGGAGAGACAACTGATTGGTCTCTAGACTCAACCGTGTGCCTTTCTGGTTGTACTTTTGTATATATCTTTGTTGTTTCTACTACCCTTAAACTTAAATGAGCCTCTAGTCCCTCTAGTTCTGGTTGCTTTTTATATTTAGAAATTCCTGTACCTTGCTCAGAGATAAAATTTGTGCTTTCTCCTTTGCTATCACCTATCTGCTCAGTTTCATTACCCATCTTTTTCTCTGTACTTTCATCTTGCTTCTCCTTCATTTTTTCAATCCTATCAACCTTCTTTGTTTCAATGCTATTATCCTTATTTCCAGCACTACTTACAGTTTCCACCTTACTAGTATCATGTATAACAGAGCCTGCTGCAAACCCTTGCACATCTTCCATAAAACTGTTAAGAACCAGAACAGAATTTTGTATAATGTTACTCTCCATTATATAAGATTCCCCATGACTCATGTCAAGTACTGGGGTTGATTTTTCTTGAGAAATGGCATTGCATTGTTGTCCCTTCTCATATGTAGGAAGAGTTAATCTTTCTGTAATATCAACAGTGTCTGTCCCAGACTTCTTTGTGAAATCTGTTGATTCTGCTATTGCCACATCCATCTTGTTTTCACTTTCTTTATTGAGGTTACTTTCTGCTATTCTCTCATCCACCCAATTACCATCGTTGTGCACACACATTTTGGGCACCAGGAGAGTTGCTGGGCTGACTGGCGTTGAAATTTGAGCCTCAGGAGAGCTCTTGCAGCTTTCCAACTCTGTCCCGTTTGGCTGTGGCATTGAGGCTTTTGACATCACTGTGAAGTCTGCAGTATCATCTTGTTCCTTCACAGCTTGCATTTCTCCACCATCTTGAATCCTTTGATCAGTGACAGCAGTGCATTCCTGCCCAGCATTCTCATGACACACCTGAACCATGTGGTCATCATTGTTGGGCTCTGTATGGTCATCTGAAGCCTTGGGGCATAAAGACACAGTTGGTCATAGCAAACTGCAAACACTCACATGCACCCTAAACCAGTGGTGTCAAACATATGGCTTTTGGTGGCCTGATAAATGTAATCCAGCTAGCCAAATGCTCTAAATCAAAATTGTCTTGTGGACAATAACTGATCTGAAAGGTTAGAAAAAAAAGCTTGTCTCTTTTATTCTACTAGGACTGGGACATCAATTGGTGGACTGCGATCTAGATGTGGATCCATCAGTTGACTGAACTGATTACTTGAAAAATACTGTAGCAGAGCTGATAAATGTTTTACTTACAATGGGTCAGAGACTACAGCACCAGAGATGTTTGCTCAGAAAGACTGGTCTGATTAGGGAAGTGATGGCATGGTTTGTTCAAAAAAAGGAAAAGTTGTTTAACACAGAATGTTTAAAAAACAAATGGACAGAGAAGAAGCCTAGGCGTTTATTCCCCCTGCTTTGAGTTCAAAAGTGTTCAGAGACCATGGCATTAATCAAAAATAAAGTGCTACTTTGGATTAACCTACCTATAAAATTCAGTTCTGAGGACAAATAAAGTTCAGTATGAAAGGTGAACCAGAATGCTAGAACATTCTCTTACAGAAAGTGCACAAATGAATGCTCATTAAGAATAGCCTACGTTTAGCAAAACATTCACTGATGCAGATGGAAAAAGAATGTATGGGAGAAGTTGCTGGTACATTGTTGGATTGGGAACAAAAAGAAAAAGTCAAAGACAAAATAAAATAAATCCCACTGTTGGCTACCAAATCTACAAATTAGGAGGCCAACTACCAGAGGTGCATAGGCACCTTACTGGGATTGTATTTCTTATTATTATTTAGTGTGTTCCAAAAGCAACACGCTAATTGTTCTCTGATTTATATAAATTTTTTATTTAGTGTGTTGGGAAGAAATACACTAATTGTTATCTGATGTCTTTTTATTATTTTATCATTTTTCTCCCTGATTTTCTACATGTAACTCCTTCTAATGTCATGCAATTCCTGTGTAGTGGCCATTCGGAGTGCATTTTTTCCCATAGGAATAAGTGGAAAAATTTTTGGAAAGCTCATGCAGACCAAACCGTACATGCTACAGATATGAAACCTTGTGATCGTGTAGTACCCCCACCCTCTACTCAGGCATGAGAGAGGAGCCCAATTGGCCTATTGGTGGCGCTAAAGCACAATATTTTATATGTAGGTCAAATCTTGAGGAATGTGAGGCCTAGAGAAAAAAAATGTTTATTTCATCTTTTTTTCTTGGCTAATTCTGCACCTATTTGCAATTTTTGGGCATGGTCATCAATAGGAGGTGGAGCTAAGTTCAGAAAACTGTTTCTAAGGAACCGTAAGTCAGATTGAGCTGATACTTGGTATTCTGCATCTTTACCCTAATTTTTAGGTGTATTGTTAATGGTCCCTGGAGGACTAGTGGTTAGACCACAGTGCTTTCAACGCTGCAGCCTGGGTTCGATCCCTGGCCAGGGAACCAACGCCAGCCGCTGGGGTTGTGCCAGTCCCAGTGCCAGTCCCAAGCTTGGATAAAAATTGGGGGGGGGGGTTGTGTCAGGAAAGGCATCCGGCATAAAGACTGTGCCAAATCAAATATGTGGACTAATGATCTGCTGTGACAACCCCTAACCGGAGCATCCAAAAGAGGAACAACAACAACAACGTTGTTAATGTTACCTGGTCTCTTAAAAAAAAAAAAAAAAAAAAA